TCAAAATAAAATATTGGTTCAATCGAGCAATACAAGGCTCGTCTTATTATTGCAGGAAATAGACAGGTTGAAGGAGAAGATTATGGTGAAACGTTTGCACCCGTTACCAAAATGGTTCGTGTGCGAACATTGCTTGTTGTTGCATCTGCGAAGAAATGGGAGGTGCATCAGTTAGATGTACACAATGCTTTTTTAAATGGAGATTTGGAGGAAGAAGTCTATATGCACTTTCCTCCAGGTTTTCGGCCATCCACTGGCTCTTCTCATCAGGTGTGTTGTCTTCAAAAGTCGTTATATGGTTTAAAGCAATCTTCGCGCAATTGGTTTTCTAAGCTTTGTTCTTCGTTGCTAGAATATGGATTTGAACAATCCAAGGCTGATTATACATTATTTTCCTTTTCTCGTGGTGATGTATTCTTAGCTCTTTTGGTATATGTGGATGACATAATCTTAGCTGGGAACAATACCGCAGCTTGTATGCAGGTGAAAAATTATCTTAACACTTGCTTCAAGTTCAAGGATCTGGGACCACTGAAGTATTTTCTAGGAATAGAGGTTTCCCGGAGTCAAGAGGGTATTTTCTTGTGTCAACGAAAGTACGCATTATGCATTCTCACCAAGGCAAGCTTGAGTGGGAGCAAACCAACAGTTACTCCCATGGAACAAAATCATAGGTTAGCTATTGATGATGGACCCTTGTTTGACCAACCAGAACGTTATCGACGGCTTATTGGTAAACTTATATAATTGACCATCACTAGGCCTGATTTGAGCTATGCGGTTCATGTTTTATCATAGTTCATGCAGGCGCCACGTGAGACACAATTTCATGCAGTTACTCGTGTTCTGTGTTACATAAAAAGGAGTCCTATGAAGGGTGTTTTGCCGCCTTATATTAGTAATTTAAAGTTACATGGTTATTGTGATTCAGATTGGGCATCATGTCCCCTTACACGGTGGTCTGTTACAGGTTATTTTGTCATGCTTGGTCACTCTCCTGTATCTTGGAGAACAAAGAAACAAGTCACTGTAGCTCGTTCTTCAGCAGAGGCCGAATACAGGGCCATGGCTGCGGTTACTTCAGAGTTGATTTGGCTTAAAGAATTTCTCTTGAGTCTTGGAGTTAATCATTCTGGTCCTATGGATCTCCTATGTGATAATCAAGCAGCACTTCACATTGCTTCTAATCCAGTATTTCACGAGCGAACTAAACACATTGAGCTTGACTGCCATTTTGTTCGGGATCATATTTTCATGGGTAATATTGCTACAGCGCATGTTCGTTCTCAATCTCAGCTGGCAGATTTCTTCACAAAGACTCTTGGACACTCGGTCTTCCATGGTGCTTCCCAAGTTGGGCATTTCATCCTTACATGCTCCAACTTGAAGGGGAGTATTGGAGGTTATGTTGTTGTTACATATTTTGAATTTTGAATTTTGAATCTAATGTAATAGTAGTTGATTGTGTTTTGTATTTAATAGGAGCTGATTGCATTTTATATTTAATAGGAGCTGATTGCGTTTTGTATTTAATAGGAGCTGATTGCGTTTTATTAATTGTTGCAATTTTACGAATTGATTACAGATTGTCGCCAATTCAAATTTATTTGTAATTTGTAATTCTGAGCTTATTTATGGGCAACATTTCAATGAAATGAACAAGAGTATAGATACTAACTTTTTTCTATGAGTAAATACTCTTTTTGGTCCTCAGCAAATTTCACGACACCCGTTTTAGTCCCTAGCAAATAAAAAGGCCCATCGTGGTCCCTAAGAAATTCAAAATGGACCCATTTTAGTTCTTTTAGGGACTAATATAAGTCTTTTTTGAATTTGTGAGGGACCAAAATTTTAACTAAATAGGTCCATTTTGAATTTTTTAGGGAGCACGATGGGCCTTTTTATTTGCTAGGGACTAAAACGGGCGTCGTAAAATTTGCTGAGGACCAAAAATGATATTTACACTTTATCTATATTAAACAAGAGTTGAAGTGTAATATGGGTAGAATTTTTGTTTTTTCTTTTTCTTTTTCTTTTTTCATTTTCGTGTCTAAGTGTACATGACCAAATTTGATACTGTTGCCAATAACCTGATAATATTTTTAACAAAAGCCTTCAGACATTAAGGTGAAATAGATAACTGTTTTTTGTACTGATTAGATCATTCCAATTTTTTATAAGATTAATGATTGGTGATTGCCTCAAATTTCATTTTAATTTTGGTTACCTTTTCCCAACGCGGCTTCCTTTGACATGTTTGACCACACCTGTTTTTGTGAATATGATGTTTTTAATATGAGAAAAGTGTGTATCATTTTAAAGGATATAAAATTGTGTTATTTTGAGTGAGAGAAAGAGATAGATAAAAGGAGAGATAGAGTGGACAAAAAAATGAAGGTATGAATCTCACCTCTTTGTGATACTGAAATGACACAAGTTGTGTCATTTAAAATGACAAACACTTTTCTCTTTTAATATATGTGGTTATGATATTCTATTTGTATTTTTAATTTCATATTTATCTTTTGCATAATCAATAATTCGATATTATATTGATCTTAAATTTATTATCTGTTGTAAATTTAATTGATTTCGCCAGCTTCTTTAGCTTTAGCATACTTGTCTTTAAAAGAGAATGTTAATTCAGTTTAATTTTGTTATATCAAACTTGTTAATTCCCTGAAATGAGAGTTAACTTATATGAATTTATTATGTTTTGGTGACTTGAACAGCAGTTTTCATGCTCAATTAGACGCTAAATGATAAATAATGTGTAACAAAATGCTTTCGATATGTTAAATTGTAGTGACACTGCTGTACTTTTTGATAATAATGGATCTTCTTGTCTCTTTCATTTTTTATTTCTTGGAATTGTAGTGGAATTGCTTACTTTTTGCACAATTTGTGAAATACGAAGTTTTTTTAAGTTTGTTGTTGTTTGCTCCTCTTTTGCTCATCATGAGGTATTTTCTTTGTTTAATATATTAATTCATCGTTTCGGTCAAATTTCACCTCAATTGATCTGTGCCTATCTGATTGCTAACGCTCTCAACCTTTATATGATTATTCACTTTCTACTTCTCTTCAAGGAACTATATCTTTCTCAAACTATACTACTTGTGAGTTGTATATACTTAAGCGCGCGTTCTCTATTTTGAATCATACATGCACATTGAACATAAAAAAAGACTGCGTAATTATGATTTTGAGAGTAATTTGCAGTAATAATAATCTTAATCCATGAGTGGAGCATTTAACAGAAAAGAATTAAAAAAAATAATCAACTAATCACAACTATAAAAGAATTATAAGTAATATATATATATATATATATATATATATATATATATATATATATATATATTATGAGGTAAACATTTCTACATCCACTTTAGATAAGGTTATCTACAGCTATCCCAAAAACTAAGTCGTTTTGTTAATAAGGGTGTTTTTGTAATTTTAGGTGAATTAATGAAGGGTGATTTTATAATTTTGTTTATTTTTTTATCATATACATTTTACTGAAATACCCTTCATTAATTCACCTAAAATTACAGAAACAACCTTCATTAATCAAAACAATGTAATTTTTTGTGTAGCTATAGATAACCTTATCTAAAGTGGTTGTAGAAATATTCTTTCCTATATATAAATATATATACATATGTGGTTTATATTTTTGCAGCTGTTGTACGTGAAGTAATCAAATACTTGTCATATATATAATTGAAAGCATTAAATGCAGAGAATCATAACCATATAAAGGATGAAATCATTAAATGTGGGGAATCATAACCATACATCTGTTGTTGTACGTAAAGCAGCTGCAAAAATAATTTTGCGTATGTATATATATATATATATATATATATATATATATATATATATGGGAAATTATTGTCTCATTCTACATAAGATAACTATCTCATGCTACTTTCACATTAAAAATTGTGCCACCACTTTTTCCTTTTTTCTTTTTTTAATGGATGGTGGGTCTCACTGCATCATGTATCTAAGATAGGAGATATTTATCTCCAATAGAACTATATACACACACACACACACACACACACACACACACACACACACACATATATATATATAGGGTTTTATTAATCTCATGTTAAAGGAGATAGTTATCTCATGTCATAGAGACAAACTAGTGGGCTCCACCACCTGAAAAAAGAAAAGAAAAGAAAAGAAAAAGGTGACACAATTATCGAAGGGTGTGTAGGAGAGGAAACTTATGTCATGTGACATAAGAATAGTTTTTTCCATATATATATATGAGGTAAAATCATTTATGCAGCCGCTTTACGCAGGTGTATGTTTATGATTCCTCACATTTAATGCTTTTATCATTTGTATCCCGCATTTAATGCTTTCAGGTATATATATGACAAGTATTTGATTGTTGCACATACAGCAGCTGCAGAAATGTAAACCCCTGTATAGGATATTGTTATTACTAATTAGCTTTATTACCAATATTACTATCAGTTTGTTTCACCGTTAAATCGATTATATTGATCCAATGGTTCTGATTTAACTTTCTAAAAACCTTCTTTCTTCTCTTTATATTTAATATTTTATATTTATTTTCACATTTGTATAATTATGATTTCCCATATTTAAAGTGAAAACATTAGGAGGAGTAAAGCCTCTTTTAGATCCCTAACAAAAAATATGATCCTCACTTTCGTCCCTTAAAAAAAAAATCAACTTTTGATCCCTCTGCAATTCCAATTCTTTGAAAATATGATCCTCATAAATTCAATGAAGACCCAATTTAGAAAAAATCTAATATGGGTTTTTTTTATAAGGGACGAGAGTGAGAACCGTATTTTTTATTAGGGACCCAAAAAGGGTTTACTCAAACATTAAAATGAGAAATCATAACTATATAAAGATAAAAATAAATATAATCGTTGAATTAACATAATCAATTTATCGTGAAAAAATAAAGTGATAATAGAGGAACGCAAATACTAAAGGGGCCAATAGTAACCAATCTAATACTTTACCTCAATTTAAAATTTTACACATTTAGTGTAACAGGACAAGGCGTTCAAAGAACAAGCACAAGTGGCTATTCCCAATCAACAAAAATAAAAACCTAAATGATAGGAATTACAATACAATTCGAACATTCCAAAACTGGTTCTAACTGGCTACCAACAACAAAAACTGTCAGTTCCATGAACTATGTGCTTCTTTGCAATGCAATGCATCCTACTGCAGAGAAAAAAGTTGTGCAGGCCAACTGCGTCTCTGACCATCAAGACCAACACCAACAGCTTCTATGGAAATGTCAATGCTGCGATGTTCTGTAGAACGGACAATGCTGACACGCAAATCAATCTTCACAGCTGGATAGTCATCAGTGCCAATTGCATCCGGTTTACCTCTGTTTTCTATTCCAAATCCCATGGCAATGGGTTCCCTAAAGGTTAAGATTGTTTGTGACCAATGAGTTTTTGGCGTGTACGGAGATGTGGATAACACAGTTGGTGATTCCTGGCAGAATCTGCTTGTGAATCCAGTTTCAAACCACAGGACAACTCCATAACACCAGCAACATGTTTTAGAATTTAAATCTGTTTCTTCGTTTTCTGAAGCACTATATTTTGGTTCCAAAGTAGCTGTTGCAGTGAAATCCACCTCATTAGTCTTCATGGTTGCTAAGTCAAAGGTCTGGTAGGAGAAAAAAAAATTGCATTTCAACAGTCAGTATACAACGTACATACTACTCAAGACTCAAGACCACACATGCAAAGAAAGAGTCAAAATAAGCAATGTATCTAGAAATGCTTGATACTTATGATTTCATTCACATACATGCATGCATTCACACATAAAATGAATTCAGCATATTCTTTTAGGGAAGGCATGGGTGGGGGAATAGAGAGGAAAATTTGAGAAGGATATTACTTTCTTCAAGACCTAGGAGGCTAAAAAAAAGGAAAAAAAACCATACGCAAATTAAAATAGAACTGTAAATTGAGTTGCGAATTTATTATAGAAAAATATCCCGGAAAATTACCGCGTCCCAAAAACATTTCGCTTCTATGCATAAATAACACGACAGAAAGATAGAATGTAATGGTACTAGAGAGTCAAAATGAACAATTGTAGCTATAGTATAAATGATTGATACATTGAATTTTCATTTAAATACATGCATGCATTTATACAAAAAATATAATCGGCATTTTCATTTTGGGCAGGCATGAGAAGGGGTATAAAGAGGAGAGAGAAAAAAGTGAGCGGGATATTGCTTTCTGAAGGACCTAGGAGCCAATTCATGTTAAATAAAATAACTTTCACCACTTAACAAAACCACTCCCCGTTAAACTCGACTAGTGAATGTGGGGTGGAGATAATCCTTGTACGCAGCTTTACCCAGATTGTTTCCTGAATTCGAACCCATGACCTTTCAGTCATGCAAGAGCAGTTTTACCACTGCTCCGATTCGCCTCCTTAACAAAAATTTAAAAAAAAAAATGCAAATTAACATTGAGATTGATTGATTGCAGTACAATAACATGCAATTTAAAAAAGTACCACTTCATCTACTTTAGAATTGTAAGATAACCAGTTAGAAACTATAACCGAAGATAGCAAACTGAAAATGCTCAAGGTGATTGCAAAATTATTCAAGATTCAATTACCAAAAAAAAAAAATCACTAATATAATGTATTGTAAAACATCCACATAGACAAAAAGCACCAACCTGAAGAACAGCAGAACTGGTAACTAAATCTTGGTAGTCCACAACATCAACTATAGGAAATTGGGCAGCATCTGTGACAAGCTCCTTCCCAACGCAAGACATGTCAAAATCACACACGTTTTCCCAAAATGGAAGACTTGTACCTCCTTTTCCAAATCCTGCAACAAACTAGAAGAGAAACTGGAATAATAATACGATATATATATATGAACTTACAGTACAAGAATTCCTTAACAAAATATTGCGAAAATTAAACAGCCCACAGGTGGAAGGAGGGGGGACTCACAATAGTTGCTGTGTCAGGAAGAATGGCACCTCCAGGCTTCAACCACCGGTCGCGTGCATAAAGCACTGAACCAAGCATGGATTCATACAGCAGGCAATATCCCATCCATTCACTTAATAATACATCAACACTTTGAGGTTGAAGTTCAACAAATTTATCAATATCTTCAACCATGCCATGAACCACTTCTATGACTTCCTTTTGGAGGCCATTGACTCCACTTTGGCTTTTACTCAGCAAGAAACCGTTATCATTTGCAACCTGAATTAAAATTTTGGATGGAAATAAAAGTGAGCATGGAACTAGACATGTAGATGAAGTGGTAACTAGAGAAGCTACCAAGCAGGAAATCTATACCTGAGAAGCCACAGCTGCCATCTTAGCACTCGCCTCAACTGCAATAACCCTCAAAGCCCCTGCTTGTGCTGCAAATAGGCTAAATAAAAAATAATACCAAAATGTCACAAAATTACAAAAGACTAAGCAATCAAATATGGTAGGTGAATATATAAGCCCCAAAAAATAACTTATAACAAGTATAGTAGACAGCAACAGATTCGTGCATATGCACTTAAAACTGCCTAAACATCACAATCCCTAATGCCAAAAATGAACAAACAGAAGCAGCCCACCAGGTAGTCTATAAATTTGAAGAAAAATCAAAGAAGAATTTTCAATTGTAGAAAAATATTAGAAAGAAAGCCATGAATAAAAACCAGTATATAATGCTTAAATATAATTGAGTTCAGTATTTGAGTACTTCACTGAGAAACTACTCATTTATATTGCGAGGTATTCATTATCCTATATACAAGGCTGCAAGCATGTAGCAATTAACTCCATATTTCATCAACTGACAAAAAAAGCTGAAAAGGTATGCAGAAGTCTTTCATGTCATATAGGTGAGAGGTAATCCTGGAAAGCTAAGCCCCTTTCAGGAAACTTTCTCTAGGAGACGGAGTCAATAACATCATGATATAGCTCAAAAAATGAATACTTATACCAGGAAGATGATAAATTAAGCATGTAGAACCACAACTAGTCTAGCTCAAACCAATGCATAAAAAATCCATACTAACATATCGACTACGAAATTCACAACAATAAAAAAAATGAAAGAAAGAACATTGCATAAGATTGTAAAACACACAGAAGCTGAGAGATAAACTACACTTGAACAGTTATCAGTTTTTTATTTTTTGAAAACAAACTAAATGAGTTTCCTGACATAAGAAAATGATGGAACCTCAATTTGATATAAAGAAGAAACCAGATACAAATTAACAGACAATTATAGTAGAAAGAACAAAAAGAAAAACTTCACTCCAAGACAACAACCTAGCCTTGGGAGCTTCTCTATTTCCTCTCGTAATTCCCCAATTACAAAATAACAATCAGCATAAAGAGACTTTACCCTAAACATCTATATATAACTGATTCCTAACTAATGAACTTGGATACTATAAATAACCATTTCAACCCAAAAGCTTAAAATGTTAGGTGAGGCTACATTAATGATTTTATATATTTCTAACACGCCGCCTCACATGAAAGCTCATTGGGCTTGAAGGGTAGCTAGTGCACAGACTCACCTACCTATGATAAGAAACTTCACAAGACTTAATTAATTATTAATTAAATAAGGGCGGTGAGGATCGAACCCTTGACACCAAAACTCTAATACCATGTAAATAACCAATTCAACTCAAAAGCTTAAGTTGTTAGGTGAAGTTACATTAATGATTTTATATATCTCTAAAACAGCCACTCACATGAGAGCCCATTGGGCTTGAAGGGTGGATAATTCACAGGCCCACCTACTTGTGCTAAAAAACTCCACAAGACTTGATTAATTATTAATTAAATGGGAGGCAATGAGGATCGAACCCGTGACACCGAGGCTCAGCTGTTGGGTTGAATTGGTTCTTTACATGGTATCAGAGCCTCCGTGACCAAATGGTCACAAGTTCGATCCTCACCGGTCCCATTCAATTAATACATAATTAAGTCTTGTGGAGTTTCTTACCACAAGTAGGTGGGTTCATGCATTATTCACCCTTCAAGTTCAATAGGCTCTCATGTGAGGGGGCTTGTTACAGATATATAAAACCATTAATGTAGCTTCACCTAATAGTTTAAACTTTTGGGATGAAATGGTTATTTACATGGTATCAGAGCCTCGGGGTCACGGGTTCGATCCTCACCACCCCCGTTTAATTAATGATTAATTAAATCTTATGGAGTTTTAGCACACGTAGGATGCATCATCCACCCTTTAAGCTCAATGGGCTCTCGTGTGATGGGGCATGTTACAGATATATAAAACCATTAATGTAGCCTCACCCAACATCTTAAGGGTTCTTTATATGGTATCAGAGCCTCAGTGTCATGGGTTCAATCCTCACCGATCCCCATTTAATTAATAAATAATTAAATCTTGTGAAGTTTCTTAACACAGGTAAGTGGGCATGTGCATTGTCCACCCTTCAAGCCCAGTAGACTCTCGTATGAAGAGTCGTGTTAGACTATAGTATAAACCATTAAAAAGACATTCGCTTAGCAGCTTAAGCTTTTGGGTTGAATTGGTTCTTTACAGATACTTTATTAAAGGCCCATCAATACTCCCCTACAAGATTCACCTTGTCCTCAAGATGACTAAAGAGGTTAGGATAAGTGTGAGAGAACTTGCCACCTAGGTCCTATTGCCTAAAGCATGTTACTCTATTTTCAATGGCCTTTTTTTCCCACAAAACATAGTCTCCTCTTTACTTGATCCAATAATTTTGGGCAATGGAGCTCTTGGCCCATTACTATTTTCAGCATAATTTCATTACATTTAGTCGCTATAGATATTGGGCCTTGGTCTAATATAATTGCTGAAATTATTTTAATGGGTTGGATAAAGCTCATATCTTTCTCTTGTGACACACATTTCTATTGGGCTTGGCCCATTAGGTCAATTTTGACCTAATTTCAGTAATGTCCATCTTGCCCCACCTATCTCCCTCCCCTTCTCTTTCACGTTTTATGCTTTTTCGGCTTCTTCTTTTTCTTCTTCCGCCACTGCATCTTCTTTTTTCTTTTCATCTTCATTTTCGTCCTCTTCTTTATTCTTTTTCTTCTGTTCCTTTTTTACCTTCGCCTTCTTATTCTATTTGTTGTTGTTCTTCTATTTGTTGTTCTTCTTCTTCAACCTCTGTTTTCTTTTTCTATAATTGCTGCATGTTCTTCTTCGCTAATTTTTTCTTCTTCGTTTCCTTCTTCAGAATGTGCTTCTTTCTCTGTTTTCTTCTTCTTCTCTGGCATAAGTCGCAGAAACCCTGCTCGCCTTCGCTCACAGATGTTCGTTGCTATAACGCTCGGACGCTTCAAGAATCAATGACTAACCCCACATACTAACACGAGACTTTTCAGCGTGCTTTATCCTCATTCACACACTACCTAAGAAAACTTCCCAGGATATCACTCATCCTAGAATTGCTCCAAGTCAAGCATGCTTAATATGGAGTTCTTCCGTTATGAGCCACCGAAAAGTAGATGCATCTTGTAAGTATAGGTAGTACCAATTAATTCTTCTAAGCTATCCCAAACTGTGCAGTCTCATCATACCTGCACAGTCTTTGGAATCCCTCTCTTTTGGGTGTCGATTCAATTCATTCATGTACTCCTGTTGGATCCTGCCAGGAGCCTCTCCTTGTTTGTGCCCCTTTCGCACCGGCGATCACTTCCTGCCCTCATCAGCGCTCGGGGTGTTACAAGCCCACCAGCTTCCGCCTAATTCATCCTCGAACCATACCATACTGGGAGAGAAGCCCGGCTCTGATACCAATTAATACGCCCGGCCGCTTCAAAAATCAATGACTAACCCACATACTAACACGACACTTTTTAGCGTGCTTTATCTCACTCACACACTTCCTAGGAAAACTTCCCAGGAGGTCACCCATCCCAAAATTGCTCCAAGTCAAGCACGTTTAACTATGGAGTTCTTCTGTTATAGGTTACCGAAAAGTAGATCATCTTGTTAGTATAGGTAGTACCAATTAATTCTTATAAACTATCTCAAACTGTGCAGTCTCATACCTGCACAATCTTCAGAATCTCTCTCTTTCGGATATCGATTCGATTCATTCATCTACCTCCATTGGAGCCTGCCAGGAGCCGCTCCTTGTTTGTGCCCCTTTCGCACCGGCGATCACTCCCTGCCCTCATCAGCGCTCGAGGTGTTACAGTTGCTTCTGTTGCACCCCCGTGTGAAGATTGGATTGCAATCCCATGATCGTTGGAGTTTTTCATGTTGTTGCTCTGCGTTTTGCCAAACAGGTTGCACTGCCGTCAATCCGTCATCTCCGCCCTACACCATCGGAACCTCGCGTGCATATCAATGTTGTAGTCGTTCTCCACTTAACCTCTTTGCATAGCTCCTTCCTTGGTTTCTTTCTTCCTCTTCTGCCACTTTTTCTTTTCTTCCTTCTTCATCTTCTCTTTTTTCCTTTTCTGCAACGTCTCATTCTTCTTCTTTTGTTAAAGCTTCTCACTTCTCTTCCCAAGCATCTATGACTTTTATCATCTTCTAAAACAACTCAATGACCTCCAATGTGCTTGCCTTCTCCAAAGCTTTAAGGTTCATTCTTATTTGTGACATTTTTTTTTTATAGATATGGACCAGAAAGCACTCCCAAGATCAGAAGTGCTCTGATACCAAATTGATGGAACCTCAATTTGATATAAAGAAGAAACCAAATACAAATTAACAGACAATTACAATAGAAAGAACAAGAGAAAAAACTCCACTCGAAGAAAACAACTTAGCATTAGGAACTTCCCTATTTCCTCTCCTGATTACCCAATTACAAAATAACAATCAAAATAAAGAAACCCCACCCTAAACATCTATATATAACTAATTCCTAACTAATGGGCTTGGATACTTTATTAAAGGCCCATCAAAAAATAAAAAATCAGATTCATAATGCCCTCACTTTGTAAAGGCCATAATTTAACAAGCCATGATTGATGGGATAGTAACTCAGTGCTTTCAACTGATACACACAATATTGTCAATCACAAGCAATCTTATTTTCCCTATTTTTTTTACTCAGAAAACATCATCCTCCAACCATTAATTATCATCAAATTGTGTCATTGCATGAATATAAAATTCCATAAAAGGTATAGTCGAGGATGTTATTAGAGAGTAGAGACTGTTTGATGTATTAAATATTTGAAAAAGGTCAAGGATGTTTCTCACCTGAGGATGCCAGTTCCACAACCTACATCCATAACCACAGCACCATTTAGTAAAGAGGGATTCTTCAAAATTGCTTGACCATAAGCATCCATTCTCACCTACATAAAGATAGCAATGACTTTACCAGCTTTAACTTTTTTTAAATTAATGAAGTTACATAACAATTTACTCAAACTTGAAGCCAACAAATGAGAAGTACATCTAATACCTTATCACTTAACATCTCTCGATGGATGCCAAATGAACTGTAAGACCCAAAATAATTTTCATTAACCACCTTAATATGCTTTGCAATGTGATTTTGAGAATTAGCCATCAAACGTCCTTCTTCTGGATCCTTAATTGATGAAACACATCCTCTTGAGTCTTTTCCACTAATAAGCTCCTTGTCTGAAGAACTAGCCCATTTCATATGATCATCCGAAACAGAAGCAGTTTCCTTTCTTCTACATCCATCATAAATGCCATCATTAACTAGCACTTCTTTCACAGCATTTTGATCAACAAAGAAAGTCTCTTCGGTGTCCTTCAAATCCCTTATAAGATCTTCATCAATCAGTGCAATTTGCTCATCTTCATCAATCAGTGCAATTTGCTCATCTTCATCTTCTTCGTATTCTCCAAAACTGTACAACAGTGAATCATCCAGAATGAAAGGTTTAAGATATCTATCATCATCCCACAGAGTCTTAACATCATTGAAGTCAATTACATCATGCAAATGATTCTGCAAGTCATTGTTGGACTGACATGTTAATCCACAGCTCCAACATCTACTCTCTGCCACCTGGTAAAAGCAGAAGAAACCAATGGTTGGCAAGATGTAAAAGGAAACCTACTCAATTCCAGCTTATTAAAATCTGATATACAGTCCATATACAAAATGATTACCAGAAGAAAAGAAAGCAAAGCTAGAAATCAAAAACAGACAGAATCAACAAAATTAGAACATCTACCAGTAGGTAGCCAGTTATACAAACTCATTTTCACACTTTTCCACTTCCACTTTCTCATCAAGTCAACCAAAGCAATAACATGTGTCAGTTCCAAATTACTATATGAAGTTCAAAATACATGTGTCACTCTCATTTCTGTTGATTCTACTTCCTCTGCCCCAAAATCCCAATTTCAAGAAACATTCACGACAGAAGAAAATAAAAAACAATAACACAATTTCACATCTTTATCAAGCCCATAACGAATTCGTGTTTTTCCTTTTCACTTAATTTCTCAGCCGCCAAACAGGTAAACGTTAAAGAAAAGAAAAAGTAATGGCAACCTGAGATCTTATGTAGTTGATGAGCTTGAAGGACGAATAGAAATCCAAATTAAGAGCTTTCCTAAACGCATGAAAATCGAAGTGGTGAACGGAAGCGCAATGTTCGAACAAGGAACCACACGAACCGTAGTTGGAATCACAGAAGAGACAGAGGAACTCTGATTGTAGATCACCCTCGTCTCCTTCCCAATCGTCCCAGTCTTCTTCTTTGTCATCGTCTTCTTCTTCTTCTACTCTGTACGGTTTTTCTTCTTCTTCTTCATCCTTTTGCTTAGCGTTGAAAGCCATGAGTGGCGTGTTACTTAGCATCTGTTAAAAGTTTAAACCCCACAAACCCTAAACAATGTAACTTGGATATATTCTAGTGTATGTACCATATTTTAATGATATAAATTCAAAATAAAAGTTTATATAATTAAATATAAAATTTTTAAATAAATGACATGTATATCAAAATTTAAAATTTAAGATATGGTTGGCAATAAAGAAAATTGATTACGCCAAATAATTATACATATAATAAGATGGGGTTTATACAATTATATTTTTTATACAACATAATAAGAGAATTTTGGTAGCATATGCATATTCAAGTGGGCCTCACACGAAAAAAGTAAATAAAAAATTAAAAACATTTGCACTCAAAATAATATGAGTGTAGTATGAGAAGACTCTTCTTATATTACATAAAAAATATAAACTCATAATAAGATATATAAGAATATGTATTGTGATGGGGAGTTTATATTCATGTTACATGGTGTTAGTTAATGACATAATATATATGTTTGTGTTGTAGACTTAATAGGTGGCAAAGTGAGTCGCTCGTCTCATCCGGTCATTAATCCGTTATAAACGAGTGAGTCTGTCGCGCTCCATTTTTTATAATGAGCTAAAAAAGTCAGATCGCCTTATCTCGCTAGCTCGCCTATTTTTAAACATATTAAATTTTCGATCGAGTAAGGAAAAAAAATTAAAAAAATCCAAATTATGAAGCTTAGTCACAGCTTTTCAATAGAGTCAAAGGTTCAAAATGGATCACCCAAAGGAAAGCTGCAACATAGGGTCAGGTATGTTTGCAAAGCGTCAAAGAGTTCGAGGTGTCAAAGAAGAAAATAGAGATTCAGGTGATAAACGAATAAGAATTGCAAGCACTTGTGTCCAGAGTCACGTCATATTTAAAAGAATATTACACTGTGAAATGGTCATCAGCACGTGAAGACGTTCTTGTTTTTTTCTAACCATTGTGGTTGAGTCCTTTGGAGAATGCTTACCTGTGGGTGACATGTTGGAAGCCCTCCACGGCGTTCAGGCTACTCGGATCTCTAAAGAAGTCGCAAAAAGAAGGGGGGAAAGCATTTGAGATGACACAGGAGCAAGAGAGGAAGATAGCGGAGATGAGAATGAAGAAGAAAGACTTCAAAAAAAAAAAAAAAAAAAAAAAGAAAAAAAAAAAGAAAGAGGTTGGTGGGCTTGGCGTATAACAACCCACATTTGTGTAATATTGATAAATAGTAAAAATCCCACTAATGTAGTTATAACATGCTATAGCAATAACGGAAAGCGTGTAATGACAAATAAGAGATTGGGATAAATGAAGAGTGAAACCTCTGAATTGAGAGACTTTAGGTTGATTGTGAGTCTAATCATGGCTAAGAGGGTGTATGTGGTAAAAAATCCTATATTTTGGGTTAAAATACCCATTAGGGGTAAAATGGTAATATGGCAAAACTACTCGATTTTTAATCGTAACCTATGAAATAGGATATTTATATAGTATTTGATAAAAAGAATGATGGAATTGGATTCAGAATGAAATTTGGAGTTGATAGACACTTTCTGAAAAAATTAATTAACAGTGAAATTTATCGGGTAAAAATATTGTTTAGTAATTTTACCGTGAAAATCCAGAAATGAGGTAATTTTTATAAAATTAAATATATGTTGAAAGAGGCATTTAGAACCAAGAAAATAATTATGGGAATTATTTAGAGTCAAATTACAAATTGGGTGGTTTTCTCGAGAAACGTGTCAACAGTGAAAATACCGCAATGAAAGTGAAACTGCGCAAAACTACCCGAAAACTTGAGATTGGTTCAATGTAAGACTAATAATGAATATTATTGGATGGTAGGTTGTGATTTTTGGAGAAATGTGTAAAAAGTACAAATTTCGCAATAAAAACGCAACTTTGTGAAATATCGCAAAAACTCAAAATTCATCTATTGATGGATAAATAATGGACATCTACGAATGTCAAATTTTTGAATTGATGATTAAATCATGGATGAGTGGAAGTTTAAGTCTGAGAAAATTGTTATTTAATAGGCTTTATTGAGGGGCAAAATGGTCCTTTCACTAGAAAACACGTGGATTGCCACATGGACTCCCTTAAGTGTATTAAACACTTCATTTTTATACAAAAGAGCCGGTCATTTTCGTGGCTTGGAGGAGGGAGGCCGAGAACACCATTGCAAGGAGCTTCAAGATCACAGTTTCACTTCCAATGACTTTTAGCCTTAGACCTTAACATGAAAGTTGTTCCTCTACAGCTTGTGAACAACTTTTCTTTTTCATAAACCTCCTAAAAACACTTGTATGAAGAGATCCTTGAGTGAGAAAGAGAAAGGTTTTTAAGTGTTCATGGACCGTGGAGACCCATATTATAACACCTTGTAATTTTAAATTAAATATTAAAATATTAAATGAGTAATTAAGCGAAGGATTAGTGAAAATCCTGAAGATTAGGCCAAAATACAAAGAAAGGGCAAAACGGTTATTAGCCAACACGCAACCCTAGGAAGATAAAAATTTAGTAGAAGGTCTCAGATAATAAAAATAACCTTGGAAATGGATTCAGAACGAAAAATTGAGTGGGTAGGAGAGTTTCGAAAATTTTGATGAATAGTGATTTTCCCAGTGTAAAAGTACTGCGGTATAATTGTACTGATAAGCGTGAAATTTTTATCAGTATTTGTAGGAAACAAAAATATGTCATGAACCAGAAAAATATGTAGGTTATGAATTTGTGGTCGAAATTAGGTGATTGATTAAATTTAAAACGCGTGTGGGACCCACCTAAGTTATAAATCACTTAAGTGACTTCACAACCCCATTTTCCTCTCATTTTCTCTCTCCTTCCCTCCTTATTCTTCACGGTGACAGCCCCTCCATCACCTTCATTGTGCAAAAATTTCATTTCATCATAACTTAGCCGTTTCTCCACCGAATCCAACGATTTTTGTCTTGAATCGTGATGGAAAACACCTTCTAAACACATTGGTACCACTCTTGAGCCTTGAAACCAGTTGTGTGGGGGAGATATTGCTCAATTTCAGCTGCGAAAATTTGGGGAAAAATGGATGTTCATGGAGCTTTTTGATCTTCCATTGCTTGGAGGAGTCTTAGGGTAGTATCTAGCCTTGGTTGTGAGTATATTTCCATTCCATTTACATGGTTTGATTGTAGTTTATTTTCATGAACCCTAAACCTTGATTTGTTGATGTGTGATGTTAGAGAGCTCAATTGGAAAAAGTTTGTACATGAAAGTGTCTTAGAATAATGTGTATTAGTGATAAATGCAATGAAAATTTTTGGTGAAAAATATGGATTTTGTAACTTAGAGAAATTTGAGGTGACATGACTTTGAAAATTGGAAATGTGTTGGGATTAGATTAATGAGTTGTTGGATGATTACATGTTGATATAATGGTGTTGTATGGAGTGTGGAATGATTAAAAAATTGAGTGAGAATTCTTTAGAAAGTCCAAGTGTGCAAATCGGCCATAGAGAGAGTTTTAGGAAATTGATGTTCTTTGTGTTGATTGGATGATATATCAAGTGTTGAATGGTATTAAAATGGTTGTGTGGTGGTTGGAAAGTGGTAGAATCAATGGAAAATAATAAGTTGTATTTATGGACATAAAAGAACCTAGAGTGAATTATTTAGCAAAACGATGCTTAAAAGACGTAAAACAGAAAAACGGCGATTGAATTAGCCTCTTGGAAACCTAAGGATGCGTAATAAAATGAGAAAGAAAATTTAGAAAAAAATAAAAGTGAAAAATTGCCTTGTTTGGCTGAACCCTCCATAGGGAGGGGGAGAATTTTGTGGTTTTTCGCGTTTTGATGGAATTGACGTGTATTGATGGCTGTACATGGTTGTGTAGGTTGTCGTACGTCGATTTGAACCCCGAACCGTGAATCGGTGGATTGCCCTTGGTCCTGGACCAAGTGGATTGAGGTAAGTGATTGGATTATGCATGTATAATTGAGAATTGGCATGCGTTTTGTGAACTTTGAGTAATTGGGAACGTCTTATGTGTAGGCGTTATGTTGAGTAACAAACTTGGAACCTAACTGCTGTGGAGCTAAGTGGAAGAACATTTGAGGTAACCTCTTGGTACTGGGGCTTGTTCCCCTTGTGTGTTCCACCATGCTAGTTGATGGTATTGGTAGGAAATGTATAAGTAGTGTAGAACAGCATGCGCATGCATGTAGTATTTATGAGGGTACTTATGTACCGAGTCTCTGGCCAGTAGACAGTTAGCCTTCGGGCAGTTTCGGACTTCCACTGGATAGGTCTCCGAGAGGGAGTTCCAATTGATCTAGGGTCGTGGTGTGTTATCCGGATAGGAGCACACTAGGATGTCTCGGGTGTATATGGATGGGAGGGGTACCTTGGTTGTGGTTCTTGGAACACGCCTTGGATGAGACCCGTAGGCTTATATGCCGAGGACGTTGCGTGGTATTGGTAGCTACCATTCCAGCTCGTCGTATTTTGTATCTCGATATTCCCCAGTTTCTCTAAATCCCTTGCTTTATCCCGTTTTGAAAGTGGTTGTTTTATACTATTGATATGCATCGAAGTGAACCATTGGACAGAGTTTTCTCCAGAACCTCTGGGTTACTGAGATATATCCGTATATCTCACCCCGTCTCGGGGCATTTATTTCAGGATGTAGCAGTGGCGTTGGAGCAGCGGGCAAGAAGCCCGCAGGGTGATTAGTGGAGCGCTTTCATTATTTTGCATTTTGTTGACCATGTGGCCTAGGCTAGACTTAGGACATGAACATCTCATATGTATGTAGGATGAGTTCATTAGCATATTTGTTAATATCATTTTGGCCAAGTCTAGTAGTTTATGTTTCATTTGTAATTAAAGTTGTAATATTCGGAAGATTGTAATTTAAAGTTGAAGTTGTAAGTTGTAACATGTAAGTTAAATGTTGAAATTGTACAATGGATGTATGATGTACTATGATGGAAGGGCTTTAGGCCTATGTTAGAATTATGATTATATGCTTATGTTGAGAAATTGCATGTAAATGGACTTG